ATTTTATAGCCAATTTTTAAGGACATGTTATGGGGTCTTTCTTTTGGAGAAGTATTTATTTTAGTTATTTTTGCATGATCCTGGCTTCTAATTTTGACTTTTGTGGGATTTAACTCATTCCAGGAAGTATTTATGTGACAATATGGCAGTTAAGCTTTACTTCTGGAGGGTCTGCTCTGATTGATAGCAGTTGACTGGGGCCACAAGGATTCTCACCCTAGCTGTCTGTCAGAATTACTGGGAAGCTTTAAAACAAACATTAGAGTCCACTGAATCAGATTAGGCTAGGAGCAAGGGTTGTTCATTTTTAAGCAGTGTTTGTCAGTGATCGTTATTAGGAGCTAGCTTGGTGTAAGGGCTTTCTGGCTTCAGCAGAATTGGGTGCTGTAATTTAAGCAATATCTGTCAAGGGCGATTGTGACTAAGTATTAATTCCTTCACATTGTGTAGTAATATGAAGCCATGAGCAAAACTTTTTTTTTTAAAAATATGTTTTATTGATTTTTTACAGAGAGGAAGGGAGAGGGATAGAGAGTAGAAATATCGATGAGAGAGAAACATCAATCAGCTGCCTCCTGCACACCCCCTACTGGCGATGTGCCCGCAACCAAGGTACATGCCCTTGACCAGAATCAAACCTGGGATCCTTCAGTCCGCAGGCTGATGCTCTGTCCACTGAGCCAAACCGGTTAGGGCAAGCAAAACTTTTTGTTCATGTTTTCATAGATAGGGAATGCTCCTGTATTCAGGAAGTATATAATTTGGTGGAGGAATGGAAAGGAACATAGAAACCTTTTAGAAAATAAGTATAAAATAAAATATGTGGTATTGACTGAAAGTCCAGCAGGAGGTAGAAGGGAAAGCAGTGAAAATAGCTGTTTTGATTCTGTTTGCTTTTCTCACAGGTCATACTTTGGCTGCTTGTCAGAATAGCCCAGAGGCATATTTTGTTTGACCTGCACATTAAAAAAACAACTTGAATTAGTTGCTTGCATTTAGCAGTTAGGAAAATATTTCCAGTCATAAATTTCCCTCCAAGCATCCTGTGCTCATTTGTCTCAAAGTCTTTTCTCATGTCCCTAATTATTTCTTTGATCTGTTAGTTGATGAAGTGTGTGCTGTTTAATTTCCATGTATTTGTGAATTTTCTGGTTTTTATTTCATTATTTCTAGTTTTACTTTACAAACTATGCTTTGCATGATTTTAATTTTTAAAAAATTTATGAACAATTATTTTATGGCCTAACATGCATGCTGCACAGTGTTCCGTGTTCACCTTTCTTTTGGACTGGACAGTCTCTGTTGATTTATTTTCAAGTTCATGGATTGTTCTGCCAGTTTGGTGAGCCCCACTAGTGAGTTTGTCATTCAGTTAAGAGCCCTGGCAGGTGTAGCTCAGTTGGTTGGAGCATTGTTAGATCTGTGCACTGAAGGGTTGCGGGTTCGATTCTTGGTCAGGGCACATACCTAGGTTGTGGGTTTAATCCCCAGTCTCACGTACGGGAGGCAACCGATGGCTGTTTCTCTTATTGATGCCCCTCTCATCAATAAAAAAAACCATTCTGTGTGAGGATTAAAAAAATTAGATGTGCAACATGCTGTGTGTGCAAATCATATACGTAGTGTGGGGAAAATGTAAAGTATTAATTTTTTTCCACTGATTACATGCTATAATGATATTATTTTGATATTCTGGGTTAAATAAAATATGTTTTAAAATTTCACTTGTTAAAGTTTCAAGCTTCTTTTTACTTTTTAAATGTGGCTGCTGGAGAATTTAAAAGTACAGTTGACCCTGGGACAACGTGTGTTTGAAATGCACAGGTCCACTTATATATGGATTTTTTTCAATAAATATGTAGTTGGCAGTCTGTATCCCCAGGTTTTGCATTGGCAGATTCAACCAACCATGGATCAAAAACAGTATTTTTGATTTGTGGTTGGGAATCTGCAGATGCAGGGGCAGACTGTATGCAGTGTGCTGGGCCATCTATACTAATAAAAGGGTAATATGCTAATTAGACTGGATAGACCGGACATCTTGCGATGAGGCCGGCAGGGGAGGGCAGTTAGGGGGTGATCAGGTCGGCAGGCAGAGGCGGTTAGGGGCGATTGGGCAGGCAGGCAGAGTGGTTAGGGATGATCAGGTCGGCAGGGGAGGGTGGTTTGGAGCCAGCAGTTCTGGATTGCGAGAGGGATATCCGACTGCTGCTTTAGGCCCAATCAGGCCTAAACCGGTCATCCCCTGAGGGGTCCCGGATTGGAGAGGGTACAGACCGGGCTGAGGTACCCCCACCCTTCTCTTGTACGAATTTCGTGCACTGGGCCTCTAGTGTGTATATATGTGTGTGTGTGTATGTGTGTGTGTATCCTATCCTATCTAATCCTATCTAATAAAAGACAAAAAGGGTTATTAATCATACTTCTGCTATGCTTCCCATTGGCTAATCAGCGAGATATGCAAATTAACTGCTAAAAAAGATGGTGGCCGGCAGCTACGCAGCTGAAGCGAGCAGGAGGTTTGCTTGCTCCAGTGATGGAGGAAGCCAAGGTTCCCCGCCTGCCGTGGCCTGCTTTAAGCTCCGAAAGCAACAATGTTTCAATTATAGAAGCTAAACAAACCCCAGATACCTGCTTTCAGCCAGCCGCAGCCTCAAAGCTGGGAGCGCCAGTGAAGGCAACAGAGTTTCAATTATAGAAGGTAAATAAATCCCAGAATTTAAAAAAAAAAAAAAAAAAGGAGAGGCTGGGAGCTTCAGTCGAAGGCCAGCCTGAAAACGGCCCTCGGCCCCTCACCCAGACTGGCCAGGCACCCCAGTAGGGACACCTACCCTGAAGGGGGTGTGGCCAGCCTGAAAACAGCCATCAGCCACTCATCCAGGCTGGCCAGGCACCCCAGTGGGAACCCCCACCCTGAAGGGGGTGTGACCAGCTGCAAACAGCCATCAGCTCCTCACCCTGGCTGGCCAGGCACCCAAGCGGGACCCCCACCCTGATCCGGGACACCCTTCAGGGCAAACCAGCCGGCCCCCACCCGTGCACCAGGCCTCTATCCTATATAGTAAAAGGGTAATATGCAAATTGACCCTAACAGCAGCAGGACTGGGAATGACTGGTCACTATGACACACACTGACCACCAGGGGGCAGACGCTCAATGCAGGAGCTGCCCTCTGGTGGTCAGTGTGCTCCCACATGGGGGTGCTCTGCTCAGCCACAAGCCAGGCTGATGGCTGCCAGTACAGCGGTGGTGGTAGGAGCCTCTCCTGCCTCCTCAGCAGCGCTAAGGATGTCCAACTGCAGCTTAGGCCTGCTCCCCGCTGGCAAGTGGACATCCCCCGAGGGCTGCCGGGCTGCCAGAGGGATGTCTGATTGCCAGCTTAGGCCCAATCCCCCCGGGGAGCAGGCCTAAGCCAGCAAGTGGTCATCCCCCGAGGGGTCCCAGACTGCGAGAGGGCACAGGCCGGGATGCACAAATTTTTGTGCACCGGGCCTCTAGTATATATATGAAAGCCAAGTGGCCGGAATAACTGGTCACTGTGACGCGCACTGCGGCAGCCAACTGGCCCGATCGACCCTGATCAGCCCCTCCCAACCTCCCACAGCCCCGCCCCGGATCCCCCTCACACCGCCTCTCCCCCCCCCCCCCATCAGGGGCGGGCCAGCCAACCAACTGCCTATGGCCCCCCGCCAGCCTGGCCCCAATTGGCCCCCCCACATCCCCTCACCCCTGCCAGCCCAGCCTGATTGGGCCCCATGGGGGCAGACGGCTGGACCTCACTCGTGCACGAATTTGTGCACCCGGCTTCTAGTCTCTTACATAAAAGGCCCGTGGCCGTCATGCCGTTAAGAGCAAACAAGCAGCGGCTCTCGCAGCGGGCAGGGAGGTGCGCAAGCTATGAGCGGCGGAGGGTGGGGCGCAAGCTACAAGCGTTGGAGAGCTATGGGTGGCGGAGGGCAGGGTGTGAGCTACTAGTGGTGATGGGTGGAGTGGCCAGCTGAGGCAAGCAGAAGTGAGCTACTCCTGCACGATTTCGTGCGCGCTGGGCCTCTAGTTTTATACAGTCAGTCCTTGGGTTACATTGGACTTTCGTGGTTATGTCGCCATCTCCCATTTCTTTATATATAAAAAAAGTTCCATCATTTCAATGTATGTACATACGTGCTTTATGTTTTTTATTATTTATTTACCACAACTAAAGGTCAGGAATTGTTATCTTTCTTTTAAATTGTTTTTACTGTTTCACTTCAATACTGCTGTGTATGTGCTCCATATGAGTGACGTAGGTGCTTATGTAGGTGGGTTCCGACTTACAGCGAAAATCGCGAATGGATCTCTGATGTAACCTGAGGACCTACTGTATAAGGGACTTGAGCATCCGTGGAGCATCCGTGGATTGTGGTATCTGAAGGGTTTCTGGAACCAATCTCCAGTGGATACTGAGCAGAGGCCAAAGTTATACATGAATTTTTGACTGCATGGGGTTGATGGGTTTCCGTGTCCCAACCCCTGCCTTGTTCACGGTGCACTGTATATGCATGGTTTGTGTCCCGTTCCTGTCGTGTTCTCTACACTATCCTAACAACTTCCTTAATGATGGTCTTTGTTCTCCATGATTCATTTGGAAATATGTAAAGATTACAAAAAGTAATATAACTATTAGCAAATCAGCAATTTTTTCCCATTTGTGTAATTGTAGCAAAAATACACATTAAATCATTTTATAAAGAAAATGTTTTATTGAAATTTATGATTAAAAATACTGTTCTATTGTGGTTTTTCTAATAGTGTTCAATAAATTGATTTTCTTTGAATAGCTTTATACTTTAAGGTTTTTTAATTACTAAAAATGGCTAAAGTATTTGTAAGAGTTATATATGGAACTTTTGTATTTTAAAATGTCATACCAGGAATCCTCAAAAGAAAGGTTGTGTCACTATTTGAAGATGTGGATGTGTTTTAATTTGGGAAGACTGACTTTCATGGCCTCTCCTTCACAGATGATGACTTTGACCAATTTGATAAGCCGGGTGCAGAGCGGTCCTGGAGGAGAAGGGCTGCAGATGAGGACTGGGACAGGTATGAACACCTGCTTGTGTGTATCAGAGTCCACGCTGATTTATCTCATTCCGCCACTTGGCTCCGCAGAGTTCTTCTCTGAAAACAGTGTGTTGGCCCCCTGATGCTCTTTCCAGGTGGGCTGGAGGACAAGGACGGGCACTCCAGGCAGAGGCTCCAGGCCTGTGTTGTCTAAAGGGTGGCCAGTGGGACACTGGTTGTCTCATCTCTCTGTGTTTCTGTACATTGATGGTATTGACTTGGTGAACACCCAGAGCTGTTGTTGGAGTACTTTTCTGCAAGAGTTCCTGTTGTCCACATCCTACCCAATATTTGGTAGACTTTACAGTTTTTGCCATTTTAATATATATTTTAAATTTGTATTTCCCTGATTCCTTGTGAAGATGAAAATACCTTTTTAGGAGTGCATGTGTGTGCGCACATACATACGCACAAGTACACACACACTGACAGTATATGGAAAGTCCCCAGTAATGATAGATGTCAGTTCAGTGTAGCGATTACTTTCATTGAGGAGCTTGAGCACCGGCACACGGATGTTTCCTGGAAGAAGGCCACGGGACAGAGCTGGGGGGTGGAGTTCTCAAATGATGATGATTCTGTCTGTATACATTTTACCATTTAAATACTGTGTTGCAAATGTGAAAATGACTTTGGGTTATAGTCAGAAAGTTTAACATAAAGGTGAACAGCTCTGACTAAAGAACAACAGTATTATAAAACAAGAACCTGATTCCTGTCGGGGAAACTAGGGAGCCCCAGAAACTTCACAGAATACTCAACATTGGAAACTACGTCTCATACCATAGCCTTTATAAATTTTATAAAGTTCATTACTCTCCAGTGACTCTCAACCTATAAAACATTGCTCAGAGCTTAGAACAAATTCACCTGTAAAAGAAATGGTCTTACTGGGAAGTAGTGGTAACTGATTTTTGTTTAAAAGACTCTGATAGGAGCTGAATCAAATAGTGTATTTTAGCAGTTTACTCATCATTTGGATTTTCTTTTCTGTCAGTTATATTTTCATATCTATGTCTGTTTTTCTTTTGGGTCGTCTTTTCCTTATTGATTTTATGATTCTTTATACTTTGGGAAATTTATTTTTGTGCTTGTAGAGATTTCCTCCCAGTCTGCGGCCTGTGTTCCCTTGAACAGTAAAAAGTCTTTAAATATATTTTTATAAGTAATATAATTAAATGTCTAAATGTTTTCCTGTATGGTTTTGTTTATTCTTTTTTAATTAAAATATAAAAATATATATCTGCAAGAATAGCACAAAACCCTGACATTCCCTTCTCAGGGGTTTCTGTTTTATGAGAAAGCATGTTCCCATCATTCAGAACATAAACATGCTGACAAAAGATGGCAGATGACTGCTGGGACCTCCATGTCACATAGAGATAACTCCCTTAGTTATGATTTACTTGTGTGTCATCATCAGCATGATTGTTCCATGTTTTAATTTTTTTCAGTTTTTGCAGTTTGATGAGTGTCAAACGCTCTCAGTGGTTTTTAATTTTTCTAGTTAATGATATTGGACATCTTTTCCTATGTTTTGTAGGTTTTTAAAGGTAGGAGAAAGCACAGATACTACTTGTTATAGTATATTGTTTTACTGATTACTGAACAGGTAAAAAAAAAAAGATCCCATATTGAGGTGAAAAACTAAGCTTAGAGGTCTAGTGAGAGCCACCTCCTATAGCAAAGTCTCTCTCACACTTAAAAGACCAGTGTTCCCTATATATTTGAAAATAAGTCTTTATTATTAGTAAAGAAAAGGTAAAGTATAGCAAATATAACGTGCAAGTACCCAAGCCCCAAATCCTGGGTAGATTTCCAGCATGTAATGAGATGATGCATTGACATATCTCTTCTTCTCTCCAGTGAACTTGAAGATGACTTACTTGGAGAAGATTTGCTGTCTGGCAAAAAGGTAAGAAGTAAAGATCTTTTTGAAACTAAATGGTAGTCATTTAATTACACTTAAAATATAGGAATATGTCTTCTGAAGGGGATGTATGTGTTCCTGGAAAGTTAGGTATAGATTAAAATTTTGTGAATTGAATTTTTAAGTGCACAAAGAACTGACTGTTAATTTACTGTTAGTAAATTCTCTGATAACTATAACTCAGACAGTAGATTCTTTAATAGTTTAGTTCCTATATTGTCCAAGGCACTCTAGCAGGTATTGAGTTTGTGAGAATGGTAACCATAAAACTACCACTTTTCTTGAAGGAACTTCATATTTGGAGTTAATATTTGGCATACTGGATCTGGAATTCACTTTTTGGGAATATTCAGAGATAAGCTTAAAGATAAGCTTATCTTTATACTCAAACATACTCAAATATACAGATATTCTATTTCCTTTCATTCTTATTCCATGTTTTTATACATACTTTACATATAAAATACTGTTTCTTTTAAATTTAGTGTTGTATCATTGGCATTTTCCTATTGTCACTAAATATTTTAAGATACTTTATAATGGCTATGTAATATTTCATTGTTTGTGTATACTGAAGTATACCTAGACTTTTCTATGTGCATTGGGGTTGTTTCCAGCTAATTGCTTATGATTTTTTAAAAACAACTTTTTAATAGAAAATTTAAATCCCATACAAACGAAGAGGGAACAGTGTAACAGGACCCTCATGCATTTGTCACCTGCTTTAGCAATTTTAGTTAAAGCCAGTCTTGCTTCATCTTTATGCAATGGGAAAAATATCCTCATGTGAGGATAACCAAAAATAACAAAAACAAAAATCTTCCTCAGTGCGATAGATGAAAAATGGTATCTAGTTGGTTTACTTTCTATTTATTTGGTTGCTAATGAGATTGAATTTGGTCAGGTATTGGTGAGTTTATTATAGGGCTGTGAGAGGAGCCCAGGCGATGGGTGCACTGGCTGCCTGACCACTGTCTTTTTCACACTTGAGTCTCCACAAAATGTACGGAGATGTAACTGACTGGAGAGAGACTCCTGGGCCACTGGTGGCCAGGGAGGTTAATGGCCTCCTTTCATTCAAAACCATGTATTGAGTGTAGCAAAAATGTCAGACTGTGAGGGACAACTTGAGGACAGGTTTGTCTGTGTCAAGGAGGGAGGTTGTAGAGTCAATTTTAAATATGTACAGGGTAGAAATTAAAGGCTGTAAACGTAAGACAAAGCAGGCTGGTGTGACCCGGTGAGAGCTATCAGAAATGGGCCGGGCTTGCGATGGCAGCTGACCGCTGGCCTGTGACTCCAGAGCTCCTTTGCTCTCCTTGTGCAGCAGCAGGCGCATGACAGTGCTCTTCGGGTGCACCCAGTGTTCTCCCAGGGTTGCTGTCCCATCAAAGTGCCTGCATTCTCGGGAGTCCCGGAGAGCCATGGGAGAACCACTCGTTCTCTTTCTTACTTGCTCCTCTTCTGTGCAGGAATGTCTGGCGGTTTGTTGAGAGTGGAGGAAGGTTTCGCGCATTCATGGCCACTGTCTCTTCCTTTCTTGGGCTCTTTTTGCCCTGCTTTCCCTCAGACCATCCTGAGCAGAACCCCCCTGGCTTCTCCGCTTCTGCCTGCGGAGAGAGCTCACTCCAGTTCATTGGGAGGGAGTTGAAAATCAGTTTGGCCTCAAGGATTTAGTCTAGCTCTTCCTTCCAGCTTTATCAATAAAGTGGGTGTTTTGATCATTGTCTCCTCTGTCTGTTACTCATTAGGTTCAGAATTGACACAAAGTTGAATCTGCAGAACTCAAAAGTGAGATATATTACCATCAGGGGTCCATTACAACATATATTCTTTTTTTGTTTGGTGAATTATTTGTTGGTTCATTGATTTTTGACAAATACTTAAATGTTCAACTAAAATAACTGAAGGAAGCAGCCTCTTATTGAATGGAATTTGGCTTTCATTGGATTAATTTTTAAAGATTTCCTGAAAGTGGTTTATTTAATGAATTGGGCAGCTATACCTAGGTTCACCCATGGCAGGCCTGGCTCACACCTGTTAATGGCGTTCCTGTCACTCAAAACTGGCCCAGTTGGGATGACCGAATATGTGGGCAACGAGGTGAAACTTCATTTTGACTCCATTAAAGCAGTCTGCTTTGTTTCAGCTGCTCCACCTCCCTTCAAGTAAACTAAGTACAGGGTCTGTTTTTATCTTATTCTAATGTCAGCGATTGGGTGGAGTCTCTTGGGACTAATAAGAACGACTAATAAGCTTGATATATTTTTGGCTTACATCAAAAATACTATAATAGAGAATATACAGACAAGTTTGAGAAGCCTATTTTTGTAGAAAGTATACAGACAAGCTTGAAAAATCTATTTTTATAAGCTATAAAATGCTGGGAAAATACTGCTTATTTGTTTGCTGCTTCTTTAAGTAGAAAACCAAGTGTGGTTTTTTTGTCCCTAATATGTGTGTGGGGGCAGGGCTTGGATTGTCTTTTGGAGGGGGAGTGGTAATTTATATATATCATAGAAATAATTTTAATAGACAAGGAAAATGTGAAGTTCCTCCCTGCCCCCTGTCTACGATACTGGTATATATTTAACCTGAGAGTATAGAAATGTGACCAGTTGACAAAATCACCAGTTACCTCTACTTGGCATAATGAGTGCACAGGGCCATCAAGAACAGGAGTGAGGACCTGAGTAGTCATATTTATTTTCATGTGCCAACTGTGTTGGACAAACCAAAGTTTTATTTTAATCCCTTATCATTTTAATTTAGTGATCCGGTTATTTAAAATCTGTTTATTTCTAAAATTCCACTTTTTTCCTTTTTCTTTAAAAAGTCTTTAGATTTTATATACTAACAATGTTACATTTAGTAAAATCTTATGGTGTCTTTAAGAAAAATTTTTGTTTGTAGGGTGTCACCACAAGACTTCCCTTTTTTGGTTAGAATTATAGTAAATATGATCATTATGCTTGTTACTTCTATACCTACTTGACTGTGCATCTAAAAACTAGTCTGGGGTAGTAAGCAAGTATGCTGTATGTGGGATTTCTCCATTTTGTCACTGGTTACATGAAACTGTGAAAACTTTCTGAATGGTAAATATTTTAATAACAAGGTTAGAAACAATCCAGTCAACGTGATTTTGCACTTTTTATAACAAGTCTTATTACGGAAATGACATGCATTAAGTAGATTTCTTATTTTAATTAGAATCAGTCGGATTTGTCAGATGAAGAGCTGAACGATGATCTTTTACAGAGTGATAATGAAGACGACGAAAATTTCAGGTACTCTATTAACTCCTTAAAAATTGTCTTTATTTAACTAAGTTGATAAGAACTGTTTGTAATTTATAATTACAATGGAGATAATTTAATGTATTATATTTTTAACATATGATTTTATTCTAAATGGGATATTAATATAACTCTGATGTAAAAGCCATAAATAGGTACATTTTTCTATAAGTAGATCAGCTGTTTAAAAGTCAGTGTTGGCCTTGCATTTAATGACCTCTGTGGGTTCTGCTGAGTGCAGGTGATAAGAAAGCTCAGCACAGGTGTGTACTGCTGTTTTGAGGAATTGCTATATCTGATTGGGGCAATGCCCCTGGGCTCGTCATTTTGTTTGCTGCTGTTTGCTGTTGCTGTTTTTGCTTTCTTCTAGACAGTTTTTACTTGTACCTAGCTGATTACCATTTGGGAATTGCCATTTTGGAAATTCCTTTGGACTGTACTTTATCTCCGGTTGACTATCTGAATGTAATTGTTTTAGTCTGTTTGGGCTGCAATAGTAAAATACTATAAACTGGGTGGCTTATAAACAACAAATTTATTTCCCACAGTTCTGGAGGCCGGGAAGTCCAAGGCCAAAGTGCTAGCTAGCCCTGTCAGGGTCTGGTGGGGACCCACTTTCTGGTTCACAGATGGTGCCTTCTCGCTGTGTTCTCAGGTGACAAAAGGGGAGAGAGGCTCTTTGGGGTCCCTTTTATAAGGGCACTAATCCCATCATGAAGCTCCAGCCTCGTGACTTAAGCACCTCCCAAAGCCTTCACCTCCACACACCACCATCACAGTGGGGTTGCCTTGAAGCAGACCTTTGGAGTTTTTAAACCACACGTCTGTGTGGCGTATATGTTTTGTTAGGATTGGATACTTAATATGTGGGACTTAGATGTATTTGCAAAATCTTGTATTTTAAGTGTATCTTACACTTTATTAGCCTTTGTGACTTAATAGGTAGAATATGAATTTTTTTTGCAGTTTTAAAACTTTAACCCTGGTATGTTGCTCAGAAATTATGAACTAATTTTTTCATGTTTGTGACTAGGATAAATTTTATTTACTTGAACATTAAAATGTAGTTTTATACACATTTTTAATATTTTTATTTTAAAATAGGAGCCTATAATTTGCACCATGGATTTAAAAAAATAGTTTTTATAATTATGATTTTTTGTTTATAGAGTAATACTCCTATTTTTACTTTGAAATCTTAGAAAACATGTCATCCTTTTCATTCTGGTAGTTAGAATGAAATAAAATATTTGCATTCAGATCTCAACTTTTGCCAGTCAAATCAGACCTGTTTTCCCAACTGGTTGATCTGATTCTCGTGGTCAAATAACCTGCAGCTGCTGATAGTCGGGGTGCTGTTCCATCAGAGGGTGCATTGCTGGCTTAGTATGCCACACAGGCTGCTGTCCCGTGAGAGTGTGCGGTGCTGGCTCAGTGCAGAATACGAGCTCTGTTTTCAGTCCTTGTTGGGCTTAGTGTGTATTTATAAGAACTGGAATAACTTTTCTCCAGTCAAGGTTTGTCCTTGTAACAGTTAATTGGTGTATGACTTAGTTTTAAGCTCCACTCTAATTGGCACCTTTCTGTATTTTTGTTCCCTCTAGTTCTCAGGGTGTCACAATTAGTCTGAAAACCACATCTGGCATGGTCACATCATATGAACTGGCTGACAACACTAATGACCAGTCTGGAGAACAGGAATCCGAGTATGAGCAAGGAGAGGATGAACTGGTTTATCACAAGTCCGATGGGTCTGAATTGTATGCTCATGAGTATCCGGAGGAAGGACAGTATGAAGGCCAGGATGCCGAGCTGACAGAAGACCACATGGAGTATGTGGAAGAGCCAGAGGAGGAGCAGCTGTACAATGACGAAGTGTTGGACATCGAGATCAATGAGCCTTTAGATGAATTCACAGTGAGTCCTTCTCCTTTGTGTGCCAAAGATAACCTGGCTGCCAGGGCACAGGTTTCTAGACTGATTTGAAATCTATTTCCCTCCCTCGGGAGGGAGGGAAATTAGACCTTATTATCACTGTCTGCCAGTTTCTTTATCTGAGCTGTGACAAAGTTTGTGTTGACAGCTTGTTTGGCTGGAGGTAATGCTCCTTTGTCATTCTGGAAGGCTGTACAGAATTGTGACCTTGAGGATTGCACCCTAAGGAAGAAAACAGCTTTGTGTGGTGCAGATACACTGTCAATTGTTAGAAGTACTTAATGCAGAGCTTTTATTCTGGCTTTAGACAAGATCTGATAAAGTTCTTCTAAGGTGAAAAGATTATTGACCTGCTAAAGACATCTTTAAGGTGCTAATATTTGAAAGTGATTGATGTTCTGTTCATTCATCCTTTCTGTAACCGAGAACTGTCCAAACAGGAATAAAGAGATGGGAGGTTAGTTTAGGAAATGTCACAGGAATTTGTTATCTGTGATCAGGAAGTGGAGACTGCTGATTTTTATTTCAGAAAGATGATTTTCATAGTAGCTTTCTGTTTTTAAATTGAATATCAACAGAAAAGGTGCTAGTGAAAGGCTGCTCATGTGTCTTTAGTGATTCATCATTAAAGAGATTTGTTTTTAAAACTAGCTCTTACGAGATTATGTGGAAGGATGTGATCATAGCTGCAGTAGGATCTTGGGGTTTTCAGGACATAGGGGTTGCACTGAAATGCATGGTACATGGGGCTGCAGGGGGTGGGGGAGCCTGCAGAGTTAGAGGGTGTACACAGCCTCTTGTAGGGGGAGCTCTGCCCTCTCTCCTATGATCTCATTCAGAGGAAGCTTGCATTTGAGAAAAAGGTTCAAAAAGTGCTGGATTTTGGCCAATGAAATACATATCCTATATAATAAAAGGGTAATATGCAAATTGACTGAAGGACGGAACGACCGGTCGCTATGACACACACACTAACCACCACGGGGCAGACGCTCAATGCAGGAGCTGCCCCCCTGGTGGTCAGTGCGCTCCCACAGAGGGATCATGGCTCAGCCACAAGCCAGGCTCATGGTTGGCGAGCGCAGCGGCCCACCTCCATGGTAGTGCTAAGGATGTCCCCTCAAGGGCTCCCGGACTGCGAAAGGGCACAGGCAGGGCTGAGGATCCCCCCCACCCCCACCTCCCACCCTCCCCTTTAGTGCACGAATGTTGTGCACCGAACCTCTAGTATGTATATAATTGCAAAAAGATTGTGTGAGAAATCCTCACCTGTCTGAATTCAAGTAACGGACTCAAAGACAGAAGTATGGGAAAAATCAGACTTTTAATAAGTTCTCAAGAGCAGGTGTCTGTCCAGTTGTACAGGCACACCTGGGGCAGCAAACACAGCCTGTTTATTCAGTCCCTCCTCCGGGTCCTCATTGGCTGAGTCCTATGGGGTCACCTGTTTCCTCATATGTCGCCTAGGTCTTGCTGTCTCCCATTGGGCCATTTAAAAAAATTGGGCTGAAGCCTTTTCTAGTTGCCTCCACCTCCCCCAGTCTAGTTGAGGCAGGTACTTCGGGGGTTTCCGCCATGATGCTGGCCACAGTGCTTTGTTCTTATATCCTCTTCCCTCCTCCCTACATTCTGTTTGCTCTGGGGAAATTCAGCAACCATTTCCATCAAAAGCCGACCATGCTGGAGATGGGTCACAGAGGCCCATTTCCTACAGCTTGTTTATGTGGAATCTTAGAATATTTAGTTCCAGTCGTGATTATGTTTGAGTATCTTAGTAGCTATTTGATTTGACTCTTTTTAATGCTTTCTGTTCAGTAGGTCTAGTAATGAAAACTGTTTGAAGTTTTGGTAAAGAGAGGCACGGAAAAGGCATCCTGGACACTTGTTCTTTGCTAATCCTGTAATGGTTTGTATTGGTCATCCTTCCCTGTGTGGACAGGTGCTCTCTGCTCTCCTGCTGTGTTGTAAGCCAGCTTAATGTGGGGCACTACTTAGAATGCTTCTTAAAAGTGAAGTCACAGTCTTTTAAAATTGTGCCTAGTTATTCCCTAGTTGTAGCATTTTATTCTTTCTACTGAATATCAGTAAAATCAGATGATTGGCAAATTGTATCTGGTCCTCTCCCTTGTAAATTCAGCAGTTCAACCAGTCTGTACTGATGTTCAGGCACTGGGGCCACAAATATTGCTAAAAGACATGAAGCATGAAGCATGGCCCTTGCCTTCTGTGCACTTAAATTTATTGGAACAAACTTCAGTTGGAAAGCACTTGTTAGTGTGCCCCCCACAGGGTGTACCCTCATCGTGGCACTCCTGTAGTTTGTTAGGAAGAGTATTTCTAGTAAGTGAGTTTTCCATCCATCCTCACACTGAGATTACATAGGGCCATGGTTGTATAATGTCCATCTGAATTAGCCAGCCTTTGTGGTCTGAGATTCAGGTATCAAAAAGAAAAAAATATTGCAATTAAATATACTCACAGTACTTTTCTTTGTTAAAATTAATTTTTTTTTCAGGAATTAAAAAAAATACTTAGAAATTCTGAAAGTGCTATAATATTTTTACAGAGAGTTATAAACTTTAAAGATGAGGCTGAGTAGTTGGGTGTCTTTTTGTGAGTTAGTGTCAGCTCACTTCAGTACATGGAGCTTTACAGCCACGGTCGTTCTTTCCTTTCTCCCATCTTCATAGTTCACGGCGGTGGAATCTGGCATTACCTCTTCTTTGTTTGGTATGTGGACTTAAACTGTGAAATCCTCCCCCCAGCTCTGCAGCAAGGAGGCCGTTATTGGTGTTCGTATTCATTTATTCTTCACTATTAGACTAACGAGCACAAGTAGATCGCATGCCTGTGTGTCCCATGGGGTTTAGTTTATTACCTGTGGTTGCCAGTCCTACTCTGCAGTGCTGACCATGAGCATGGTCTGTCCATTCTAGCTTACTCTGGGAGAGCACATGGAGGATTTTGTGTATCTGGGGGTAGAATCAAAACCACGGCATTTTACATGTGAAGAGCCAGATCTGCATTGATGAACAAAGAGCTCTGGTGTTCTTTCCCGCTATACTCAGAAGTGTGAAGATCCTTAGATCTTAAGGATTTTGCTGGTCCTGTTCTTGAGAGTGAATTGGTATTTGATTTAAAAACTTGTACTTAGGAACGAGTGCATATCACTCATTATGTAACAAAACATTAGAAAATTGTTGAGTAATTTATACTTCAAGCACAATCAATTTACTAGTATTTAGGGTCTTTAAAATTAATGGAGTGAGATTTCATAAAACATTGCTGTGTAAGAACAGTTTCAGGATGATAATTTATGAAAAGGGCAGCAGAGTTTTGTTTGCCAGTGAGGATCCAGTACTGCAGACTGTACTTGAGTGTCTATTGGCTGGACTTTTGATTAGCATCATTTGGCCATGTTTGTTCTCTCTGACTTTGGGAATGGTGTCAGTTGGTTCCTGACGGTCTCATCTGCCTTGGAGGTTTTGGAAGTTTGTTTAATTTGGGACAGTGGATTTTCCTCTCTCTGTACTGTACAGAAGGTTGTTCAGTCTCCATGGTGTGTTCACTCTTTGATGCCTGCCTGTAACTGTCCAGTGTTCATTTTATTGGGGGTGGGGGGCAGGGACACTGGGAAGTCCAGTTCCCCCGGATAGGATCAGATCTTCTAGTCTCTTGCTGGCAATACTTGCAGGAGCCTTTCTTCCCCTCTCAGCTGGCTGCTTCCTACTGGGTGCCCTCAAGAACCTCCTGCCTGCTGACATGCCCCTTACATTTCATATAGACCTGAATCATCTCTTATTCAGGGACCGGCTGATGGAGAACCTGAATCTAGCCTGTGGTTCTCAGTGCAGCTCCTGTGTTGAACTGAATTGCTCTTCTTTGGTCTTCTGTTGCTGTAAGGTTTGAACCTGGTGTGACCCCAGGCCCTTACTGCTGCTGGGCTCTTCATGGGAGCAGGTGGTCACTTTCTGTTTAGGTTACTGCCCTTAGTGCTAATTTTATTAAAGCGATTTCTTGGAGTTTGGGCACTTGGAGTTTGTCTCAGAGCCCCTGTCACTGACCACAGCAGTTGGGTTCCATGCTGTGCTCTGTTCTCATTGGCACAGGGGAAGGTCATCTTCCTTTGCGTTTAGTGTTTTCTCCTCCGGCAGGTAACTGCCGTAGTAAAATGTGCTAAAACAATTAAGCATGAGTCAACAAGATGAAACATGCTGAAAACGCCCTAAAAGCTATATGCAAAAAACTTTTCTCTTCTAATGGCTGTTAGGATGAAGAATTCTTGCAGGCTTATGAAGGGATATCTTTGGAGGAACATTAATGATTAGATCCAGTCATAGAGTAAATGAACTCGTAATATGTGTGAATTAATAAGAGCATATCTCAGACATACTTAGTAAGGCTGATGATCATTTTGGGAAAAGTTGGACCTCTCCTTGCACTTTAATTATACATATATGGATCTCAGATTGAATAAAGATTTCAGTGTACAAAAACTAAATAAGCATGCATAAGTACACATGCACGTACACACATCAAACTGTACATGCATTAAAAGAAAACATTTTAATGATGTGTTAGCTTTAGGTTTACCAGTAAATCTGAAAACTCGCTGAATATTAGTTTACTTTCCACTAGTGTAGAAAGTTCCAGAGGTCATTTTAGACCTGGTGTTGTCCTCACTGGGTAATCAGTGTGCAGGCTTCATGCCAATTTGATGGTACAGCTCCTGGGCTGCTGCTTTCCCAGGGCCACATCCGGCAGCAGGCTGTGCAGGGGACTAAAGGGACTGTGCGGAATTTGCCCACAACACTTCATCACCATCTCGTAAGTTGTGCCTTAGTCACAGGGCTGTCCCTCACAGCAGGGAGACTGGTGGATGTAGCACAAGCATGTCAGACTTGCGGCCTGCATGCAGCCCAGCCAATATAACGGTGTGTAAGAAATGTTTTAATAAAAATTTTGTGACTTAATTTTTATAA